GCACTCTTTACTGATTCAATACAAATAAACTGAGATTAAAAAAAACTATTTCCTCCATCTTTTGAACAAGACCTTCAGAATAAGGGGCAAGACAAGGAACAGTGTGGTTTTGTCTTGAAAACCTTCCATCACAGTGCAAGAGTCCTGTTCTTTAAGCATACAAATGAGGTCTGCATCCGAGACTTCTGTCTCCAGTGTTCTCTGTATTAGAAGATGGCTGTACCACATCTGGCTTTCTATCTAATCTCAAGTACATTTGATTGCCTTCCTTTAGGAAAATAACTGGGTATTTCCTGAATCTGAATCAGCAACTCTGTATTTGATGAAAAGTTTGACAATGTTGGTCTGATAAAAACTTAACCGACAATATCCACACAAAGCAATGCTGGCTGCCTTGCTATTTCAAAAATGAAAAAACCCAAAAACAACAAAACCCAAACAAAAAAAATCCTAGGCACAGACACTCAAGGCATCTAAATGGAGAGGTAAAAGATCAGTCAAAGGCTTTGTAACAACAGACAGGAGACTCCCCTACCACAGACGCTCATAGGCAGTCCAGACCTCCAGCTCAGGCTTCTTACAGCACGTAACTCAGCTTCTGCATAAAACAAGACTTCTAGTACTTTATATTATGCAGAAAAATCTAAAGATACAAAACAGGTTTCCAGCCATCACCTCCCAAACCCCAGCTGCACAAAAAAAATCCTTCCTCTTTCTAGCACTATCTCTGAAACTCACAATTATGCAGCAAGCTGATTCAATTTGCTAATTGAGAAGGTTTTCACTTCCTCATCTCAAGTCAGTTCCCTACTGGTTTAACATGGTGAATCATCTCAGTGCAGGCTGGGAGAACAAAGCTAGATGGCAAGGTAGGAATGTGAATCATGAGACTGGAAAGGAAGGAGGAGGAGTAAAAATTCCTCCTTTTCAGTTGCATCAAACTAAGAGAAGACACTGAAAAGCAGAAACCCTGCTTGATTTTACATGTCAGGATAAAATGCTCTGGAGAACTGCATGATCACCATCCAGATAATATCGTAGTCCTGGGAAAAGAAAGGGCACAGAATGTTCATCTGAACAGATTTAATCCTGACCTACTTGGCAGAAAGCACTCCAAAAAGCTCCAAAAGAATAGGTTCCCAAATGCTGAAGACAAGACAGAAATTTTATGGTCTTATCCTGGAAATTTTAAATATCAAACCCAGACCAGCATGAGGGAAGCAAGTGTGGTCAGTGTTACAGGATTTCAGATTGTAATATCTTTCTTAGAGGCTATCATTATGGTTTCCAGTTCTTCAATAGATCCCTGTTCCAGAAAAGCAGAGTCTCTTGTAAGCAGCTCTTTCACCAGCGGAAGTCTGAAGAAAAATTACACTTCAAAAGACAAAGTTACTTGCAGAGAGCATGCATATAAACTGAAGGGGTTAAATACAATCTAACCTATTATCACTTACACACACCTTGAGAACTCGTATGGAGTATTATACTAAAAAGACTGTACACTGAGGCTTATAAATCTGATCTCTACGCTGATATCAATCACTTCATGATCAATTGATTTTGCATTTAGTGTTTTTAAATACAAAATAATTAGGTGAATGAAACCCAGAGAAGTTTCTAAGGAAGCCACTGCACGACAGCAGCTACTCTGGAACCACAAAGTTACTGACTGTGCTCTTGCTTTGTAATTAAAGAAAAAAAAAAAAAAAAAAAACACCCAAACCCAAACCAAAACCAAAAAACCCAAACAATCCAAACCTCAATTTTAAGTAGCCCCAGAGAGAATGAACTTAAGTTAAACCAATTGTTCAAAAAACCCTGAAACACTGCTTATAAAAGTACTTGAAATCTGGAGGGGAAAAAATAGGGCAACAGAACAGAATACCCTGTTTTGCTAGTAACAGCAAACTGAAACAAAAGCACCAGCTAAGTATTTTCAAATTTGTGTTTCTGAATTGTATTTTAATATAGTAAAAGAAGGTTCATGGTATTTCTACTCTTCCAATTTTATTAAGGTATTTTAAAGCTTGATGGTTCAGAAAGTTCGTAGAAGTCCTGGAAACTATAGGCCAACAAGTACCTGGCACACAAACCAAATCCCAAGTCTCCCTTCCCACCCTGCTCTGTAGCTACAGTTGAAGGTTGAGTGTCACTGAACCAGCTTAATTCCCCTTAGCCAGTTCAACATTCAACTCTTCAGGTACCACTGCTTAGGAGAACAACTCCAGAATAGAATGAGTAACTTGGATTAAAAGTAACTGAAATGAAAGCTCGCTCAAACTTCTTTTTTAAATATGATCAGGATTTGTGAGCGTCCAAGCACAACATAATGCTTTACCAGAGGAGTCAAAAACTATACTGCTTCTCTCCATAAAGCTAGAAACATTATATAGCTGCTCTACTGCAAAGCTTTTAATATCAACAGGACATCTTCTAAGAAACATAAGTGCCACAAGTGGTTTCCCCCTCCAGCCCCTGTTTTAAACATCATTCATTTCAATAAATATTTACATATACAAAAAACCAGACAAACCCTCACCAAGAACAAGCCCGGAAAGTCTTACTGTCAATTTCCTGACAGGCATTTGTTTAATCTGTTCTCTAAAATTTAATTACTGACATGGAAATTTTAAGGTCTCCTCAAACCGTACCTTTAAAACCTGAGATGCAAACTAGATTTCATTAGACTTTCAAATAAAGTAATAACTAATAGTAAAGCATCCAGAACAGTACTCATATCATATACAAATTAAAAAAAACTTAATAAGGTTTTTAGGTATGAAGAAAGTGCCTTACTTTTTATGAATCAGAAGCCATCATCTCTGGAATAAAACATTGCACAAAACTGAAAGCAATTATTGATATGAGGCAGCAGAAGTTTCATTTAACGGTCCTGACAAATGCTAATGATGTAAGAGAAACTCTCTTCCCACCCCTGCAAGCAAACAAGAATCCTGCTTCTGAAACTCCCCATTCAATATCTGAAGTGTTTGTCAAACAGCAAAGAACCATGATAAGGAACTAGTTGATCATATATGAGAAGTGGAAGCACTACTGTTTTTGTTTGGTTTAAGAGACTATTTCCTTCAGGTGCTACAACAGATACCCTCTGGAGAAAAGAGGAAACGCTTCACTATTATCATAACTCTTCCCCTGACAGCCAGCATAGCATTTCTGAATTACTGACAGCTTTGTCTCAAGAGCTGAATGTAAGGAACAGTGCTTCTGCCCTCCACCATGAAAAGGTCCACACGTATTTCCATTCAAGGGTAGTAATCTATTTTAAAACAAGAATTTATTGTGTTATAGTATAAAGACACTAAACACAAAACAAAGTGTTTAACAACATGAACATTGACACAAAATAAAAGCAAGATCATTTCAAGCCAATTCTGTAACCATTTCATGTGAGAAATTCCAAGTGAAAGTTACATACACTGGGTCACCCTACGGAAAGGATGGCACCACCTTCATCTAATTCAAGCCCTATTTCAGGACACCATGGCATTGTCAGAATAGTTGCATTATTTAGAGGGCTTGAGTGGTACATAGGCTTTGTCTTGGCCCTCTTTATATAGGTGAACTTACCCACAGATCTACAAGAGAACCAATGGAGACATTTGTACTGTAAACTAGAAGACCTGAGGTACATTCTCTTCTAAGCTACCTTGCATTTTTTTTTTTTAAATCTATGTATATTATAGAGGAGATTAAAGAGCAGCACAAATTTGGTTATTTAACTTCACTGTAGTCCATGTGATAGCATAGGTCAATAAAATAATGCTTTGCACTACAACACCCATCTTCAACAAAATACATACAATATTGTCATAAAGCTTCTCTGAAACCATGTGTGTTGTAGTATGGCAAGCCACCATATGAAAAGATACATGAATCTGAGATGTGCTTGAACAGTGTCTTCAGAGACATTACCTTGTGTCACGATAAGGTCTCTTTCCTGTGGACTCTTTGATAGGATCCATTATGTGAACCATTCATACATGAATTTCTCAAAGATGCATCAATCGCTTCAATCAATACAGAGCATCTAACATGAATATACAGATTAACTATCAGATTACTGCTCTTTCATACAACACCATTTCCAAGAATAACCAGTTTGATCAACTCACAACAATAAAATTTTGCTAAACAAAAACTCAGGAGCAGTACTATTCCATTTGCTTAAAATTATTATTTTTGGCTCTTAAAAGAAATTGAATTCTATGTCTTAAAGGCTCATTGTGAAAATACATACACACATGAAATTTATATCCAAAGCTAGATTTTACCATTGAGTTTTAAAGGCCAAGAGATATTTTCAGTACAGTAGAAAAAAAATAGCAGTTCCTGAAGTATACTGTAGCCTCACTTCACTGCCAATATCCATAATTCAGTTGCTGTACAAAATACTTCTCTGAAGCAAATCCATCTGAACTCTATCCACCCTGAGTTAAGCATCTGTACTTTAAAATGGTTTAAATATTAGGTAACAGAGAAGTATGTACAAGGCTATAAAACTTGTCAGTTACCGCAGGGCAGTAGGAAAAAAAAGAATCTATTTTCAGCCAATTTTCTGTTTGCTATTGTAGTTATTCCGTCTGGGTCGGGTTTAGGTTTTCTGGGGCTTTTTTTGGCTTTTTTTATAGACATTCATGCATTAATAGCTTGAATTTTTTTTTTTTTTTGAGTGCAATAATAAGGCAACAGTAAAAAAAAGTTATAGAAATTTTGCATATGTGTAAAGGTATTAAGTTTATAAAAGTGCTTCCTAAAAAGACAACCTAATGGCAGTATCAAAATATTACAGAGTGGTGAGAACAACTACCATTTCAATAAATGTTACTCCATAGAAAAATGTCAATCTGATTTTAGGCTTTTTCCCCTTTTTTGGTGAAGTAAAAGCCTGGAAAAACAATTGGTATGGATGCATGGGACAAGCAAGATAAGAAAATATACTTTAGTCTAAACTTAAATAAGAAGGTCCACACTTTTTTGTCAAAACATTAAGCCTCTGTCAAAAATGTATTTTTTTCTTTTTATAGTACAGGATTAAAAGACAAGATGATGCTTACAAGATAAAGAAATAATTTACATGAAAATATCTTCTGACAAAGCTTTTCAATCAAAATATTGTTTTGTAACATTCAAACATGACATACAACACAAAAGAAACAGTGAATGCAAACAAAAAATGTTATATGGATTGCTTTCAAACACATAAATAAATGAAATATTGGTGTAGGCAGTAGGGCTCATGCTGATGGCTAGCAGGAAATAACAGTGTGCAATCTATTTGGAAAAAGCTCTAAAGTACAAATTACAAGCCCAATTATGGACTGCAGCAAGTTCAGTTATATCACTGCCATCCTCTCCTATCTCCAAAATAAATTCTTGATTAAACCACTCATACCCTAAATTACTCATACCTTTGCTTCAGAGATATGAATAACTATATACAAAAAGTAGTTTTATTTCACCATAGGGATAACATTGTACCTCTCTGCCAATGTCACTTGAAAAGCCTTCCATGTCAAAACAATTTGACAGCAGATAACAATTTAATAAATATGCAATGATCTTATTACAGTCCTTCAGCTAAGCATGGTAACTCATGCTGCTAGTTTTGTAATCACAGTGCATAGAATCCAAATATCAAAGAACGGGTGGCTTTTAAGGTAATGGTCGATCCCTTGCTTATAATCCAAATATATCCAAAACTTTCATAAACTCTGTCATGCATCGATCTTTTTTGTGGCAGGAGCAAAACCTTTCCCTGGTACAATGTCCATTGCCGGCAATGGATGCACCAAAACCGCCAAGGAGCTCAGTGTTATTGCACAATATATGAAGACCTGGAATTCTTCCAAAAGCTTAAAACAAAAATAATGGAATTATTCTGACATTTCTGGACACCTGCATTAATACTGTATGACTAATAAAAGCATGTCAGTTGCATGGACTGAACCAGCGATCAACATGCGCCCAGAATGCACACTAGTAAAAATGCAGTCAAAGGAAGTAGTCTTCATTGCCTATAGGTCACTTCCAGTCAAAGGTTAAAGTTCAAAGACTGAATGATCAAAGTGCTCATTTTCTCAGTAGGACTATCTTCTGCTACGAGGATCACAAAATGGTGGCATCAACATGTGTCATCTTTAAAATAAAAGAAGAGCATTTATGGAAAACATATAAACATTCTAAGTCCAAATTAGCAAGGTGCTGTATGCAGAAATAATTCTAGCATTGACAGTAACATGCAGTGGAAATACACTGAATGAGTAATTCTGTGTTTCTGTTCAGTAATGACTCAGGTAAAAATATTAAACATAAAACTTCCAAAAATACACATACACTCCCAGGCACATTAGTATTGGCAAGTATCCCATTAAAAGGACAGTTATTTCCATATTCTATATTTGGAAAGCCAGTCATCGGGAAAACGAAAAGACCGAATACACTTAACATTTTGCACCCCTGAAGTACAGCAGGTCCACACCAGCTATCAAACTGAGAAATCCTGTTATAAGGAATATATAGTGATAGAGCTGGCAGAGTGGGCTCCTGATGCATTCATTATATATAGATATATATATATGTATTCATATATATGTATGTACATTTATTTCTCAAGAATCAAAGCAAACAATAGCTGTCAGAACTATGCAAACATAATAGGTTTCCTACTATAATCCTAAAATTTTAAACCTGAAAATAACTTGCGTTCCTAAATTTAAGATACTATAATTGCACAGAACATTACAGAAAAGTGTAATCTATGGCAATCTTTTCTGCATTATGCTCAATACTAAAGTATTTATCTTCCACGCACCAACCTGCAGTATATTTGCATCTGGCAACAGTAAATACTAAGCTTGTTAACAAAAAGCAAACTTACTGTCTATTTTTAATGCACTTGTAACCTCACACACCTAGAAAATGTAGCCTCATAAGCAGTATTTTTACTGTTTACAGATTTAGCATGTATAAAGTTGCCATGAACAATTCTACATTTTCAATGGAAAACATTATGTCATAAATAATACTACATGTAAAAATATCTTCATTTTGATAGTAGGGTACTGTAGGTGTAAAAAAGACTGGACAGTATGCAGAGAGATAGAAGGAGTATTTCAACTGTATACTAAAAATTTAGGCCAAATACCAGAGAAAACACTTTCTACTTAAACAAAACAAACCCAAAAGCAGTAGGGAGGTGCTGGTTGAAAACAAACACCATTGCCCTCTTTTCACAAAAATCAACTTCCCGACACCAAAGCCAGGCAACAGCTTTATGAAACCAGTTTCAGCCTGGATGCCTACGTGAACTGTATCTGGAAGATCTTCCTCTGTCTTTAACAAAATACGATCAACTCTGAGACTGAAATTTAATAAGAAATTCAATGTACGCTTGAAGCAGGTGTTGGGTAGGGCAATCAATCTAGAAATGTATGTAGTTACCAAAGATCAGGAGTTTTGAAACAAGGACATCAGTTTGTAGCAAACAAGGCTCCATAACTCTGCTTATGGAGTTAAGTTGCTTTGTTGGGGCAGGGATGAAATGAGAGATTACGAACTGTAATAAGCTAAATGCACAGAGACACATGTTTACACATCAGAATGTATCTCAAACTGCCACTTTGTCTTTCTGTGTTCATATCTGTTTCCTTTACATCAGCTCCCAGTCATGCACTACTTGCTCTCAGTTAAAAAAAATCCAGGCACGTACTGGAAAAATAAAGAAATCCTTCAAATGCATATACTAAAAGTGAATACAGTCTTCCTCCTTCCTCTCCAAAACACAGGGGTTCAATTTCACATTAAAGCTAAGCCAGTCCAATGGCTAGTTGACAACAGAAGGGGCAGAACCACCCTGCATCTCCCTTCTCATGTTCTTGTATCAGCACTGGTGTTCACTTCATCCAGCAGTTAACCTTGTTTTCTTTCTCAGTTTGGATTAGTTTTTCACCCCTAATTTATCCAGCCCAAAGTTGTTGAACCACAAGATTAGATATGCGACACTTCAGTTGAAGCAGAAAACCAAGATGACAGAATCACCTTTCCCAAGGGCTTGCAAGTCTTTTCAGGTGTACATAATGTTGAAGACAGTTCTTCGCCAGAGAGAGATGGTTAAAATTAGTGGGCAAGCTACACTTCCCATTTTAGTGTAACCCACCATTTCTTCAAACCCACTAAGAAAACAATGACAATTTAAAGATCATGCCTTGGCAGTCTTGCTTTAGGAAGAGAAACGTAAGTAGTTGCAACAGAGAAAGAGCAAGTGACACACAAAGCTTGAAGGAAAAACCCTCTAGCACTTAAGAAATTTTTTGTCCAATGGACATTGGGCATGTTTTAATTTTTAATTAAGAATTTAATGGTGGGGGAAAAGCACCATTAACTTTTAATCATGACCTCCTTTGCAATTAGTACTTCAAAAGGAAGTTAAACAACAAATGAAAATACTATGAAGCAAGCCAGTACAAGTTATTTAAATGAACTGACTTGCTTTTTCTTGCCTCAGGTTGGTTTTTAGGTTGCTCTGAATTGGGGGGGGTAGGGTTTTCTGACTTCCAGAAAACAGCCATTGTAGTTACTTCAAAGTAATTAAATGACTTATTCAATGGACTATAAGCAGCCTAATGGCTTTGAGCCACAATAATACAGCAACTTTCAGAGCCAGATAACCCACATTTCCTTGTCATACTCATTGGCTTTTGTTTGTTAACTCTAATTGACTTTTATAAATAAGAAATCATAGTATGATCTGCAGACTGTTCTTCTTGATAGTCTTCAATCCTGAATCAAAACAAGTCTAGTACAAAATAAAGACATATTTCCATTGCAAAGTAAAGCAAATAAATAAAACTTTACTTGTTTCTCTTTTAAAATAACTAGCAAGTGAAAACAAAACTAGTTAATAAAAACTCTCTCAAAATTGCCAATAAAGAGGAAGCAAAACTATAAATGGAGAAGCACCAAACACATTACAAGAATGAAAAAAAAAAACCCCACCCAAACAAAAAAACCAAACAAAACCAAAGCAGAGAAGAGAAAGCGACTACTTAATAATGTGGTACAGATGAAAAATGGAGCCTTGTGGGCAACAGGCTTCTTGTTCTTGGAGTCAGTTTTAAAAACAATATAATGTACAACCACATGGTAAATAATCCTGACTTTTCTTAAATACCTCTTAATCCCATGACATACACACTCCTTTTACTGTAAGTGAAGTCACCTTGTTTTAGAGATACTATTAGAGTATTACGACAAACTGAGTTTCATTCTCTTACATTACCACATATCAAAACCCCAAGAGTCACAGCAAGCATTATGAAACTCTCAAGTTTTTCTTGTTAAGGCACCCATAGGCTTTTAAGAATGTAAGGGTGAAGGCTTTGGTGTTTGCCTCTCCACTCATTAACTCCCACTGCCTCAAAATACTTGGTCTCTTCTCAGACAAGGGACAAAACATGTCCTGGGGTGGGGAGGCAGTGAAAAAAATAAGAGGATGTCTTATGATGGAGCCTTCAGTGAAAGCTGGTGATGGGATCAATACCTCCTGAACCACCCTAGCATACAGCATTATCTGCTCTAACACATCCCTTCCCAAAATACGTGGGCTCCCGATAACCTCATTTGTACAGTATTTTCCTAGGGAAAGCAAAGAAAATGTTGGCCAAGAAGATAGCCCATCTTTAGCCCCTCCTCCTTTCTTTCCTCATCAATGGAGTGGATAAGACAAGCACATACAACTAACCCCAGCTCTGGGAAAAGGATGAGAAATTTTGGGACAGAAGAAAGAGTATAAAGACAGAGAGCACATGGAAAAAGGAGAAAGAAAACAAAACAAACACCAAAAAATTCCACAAACCACACCAACACAATACTAGCACTGCAGACATTATAACACTATACATAACAATTTTAGAATGTTTTTTTTATCATGTACATGTAGAATCTTATTACTGTATTATTGACTACTAGCTCCTAAGAGCTTCTTTAAGTCAGCCAATTGTCCCACATTGGAATTGTGATTAGCAGTGGAAATTATTAAATCAGATAGCTGTTTACAAACATATGGACACCATTTAATTGCTATAAAAGCTCTTAAAGCATTAACAACAAACAAAACAAAACAAAACAATGAAAAAAACCCACACACAATAAAACCAACCTGGTTTGAGAACTAAACCTGGTTTCATTATGTACCTTCCCCAACCCAAAACTTAAGACTTGTCATGGACTAACACAGTGTACAAGAACTTTCTTTCATATTCAATCCTAAAATTTAAAACCTATACATCTGTGCTGTTAAATTTCCACTAGGAATTACTGAAATGTAATACAAAAAAAAAAAATCGCAGCAAGATCTCTAAGAAACAGGATTTTAATAACTTTTGAGATTTAAAAGAAGAGTTTAAGGTTTTGAATGCATTTATCCTACCTCCCTACATTTTAATTGCCTTGAGCCTGAAACAAACAAACAAAAAAAAAAGTAAACAAAATTCCTGGTCCTAGTTAAATACTTACCATGATACCACCATTTTGTTTTCTTTGGATTCTTGTTACACGTTCTTACATAAAATGAGTTATCTGGAGGTCGCCTCTGCAACAGAAAAAAAGACCTACAAATAATCAAACAATCCTCATATCATAATGCATGAGCTATTTAAGAAGCTTATAAAAGGCTACTATGTGAATGCAGGGAAAATGAGGCAACAGGCAGAGCTAGATCTTTGTCGCAAAAAATCACTTACAGATCCCGGTAATAATTCTTACTGGAGATACTTCAAGCAAAAAATTAATAAAAAAGAACAAATAGTTTGGAGGTAGACAGGGAGAGAAATTAAATTTTAAGAAAGAAAAAAACCCAACCTGCAAGAAAGGAACAGCTGCCATTCAAAAAACACAACCACCCAACCAAAAAAAATCCAAACTAAATTCCTTTTGCAGTTTGGAATCTGATTCTGATCTATTAGATTCAGTTTACATCCATACATCTCAGCTTGGAGTGGGTGAAAAAATTAATATAACCAAATTCTGTATCTGATCCATACTTCATATTCTTCAGCTTTCTTTCAAGTGTCATCATTATGCATAACCAAAGTAATAGGATACAGTACAAAGCCATTTGGACGGTGTTCTTCTACCACATACACATGACTAGGACTGACTGGGATGTGACATAAATAGGCATGTTTGGACAGCACAGACGTACAAGCTCTGACCACATCTAACTTCCATATATACTCCACTGCAAAAGAAATGGTCAAGAGTAAAAGGGTAGTCTTTTTACAAAAAAGGTCTAAAGTATTAGTGTCACTCATCCATGACCAAAAAAGCAGCTTAGTACCATCTACTTTCCTGAAAATGACAAAAATCACTGAAATAGTACAGCTGTAAAGCCATGCAAACACCTGCTCTGAAGACCTGCCAACAGTCATTTCACAATGCCTTTAGAGACAGAATTTTTACAAAGAATTGTCCTAAAACATGATCAAACTTCACAATTAGTACAATTAGAAGGGTTCTATTCACTCTCTTTTGCAATAATGATATACGCGCAGGTTACCACAAAAACAATGACAAAGCACTTACTGCACTATTTTGCAGCTCTAGTTTAGTATTCTTCAGTAGTAGAAATGTAGATACAGTAGTTTTTAGAATTTTTGAAATGAAAATCTCACTTTGCAAAGTAGAAATCTATTAACTTTTACTTATTCTACTCCAACAGTGCTAAAGTGCTCATACCTTTTCTTTGCAGCTGGAAAGCATGCTAATAATGCTAAGACAAACAGATTGCACTGAGAGAGCTGGAGACCAGTCTTCTGTTAGAATGGATAAACAGATATGACCATTGCTATAAACATGAGGATGAACAGGAATATTGTCTCCAGTAAACATGACCTAAAAAAGAAAAAGAACAAACAACTGTAACTTACTGCCCAGATTTAAATAAGACTCTATTGCTTTTGGGAAAATAATAGTATCTTGTTTAAGAAGTGGATCTGCCATTTTCAGTTACACTAAATAATACACTTTATCATGTTAGGTTCATTCATTTTTGGAAGCTGTTAATTGAAATATAAAATAAGACAATGGGAAGGTAAATAGCTAGTGAAAATTGTGTTAAACATGGTTAAGCATAGGGTTTTTTTCTATGGATATTTATACAGCATAGAAAAATGCAAAGGTAACAGTGTAAAGACATCAAACTAAACTTTTCATATCTTGCAGCTTCAGTCTTTCACATCCTAAGGAATCCAGCTGCCTAGCCAAAACACTGGATGATTTCATAAGCCACAATGTTATATACCAGGAAACACAATGAGATTCACAAAGGAATATTTCTATAAGCCTCGGCACAATAGAAATTAAGTTCTGGACAGCTCATCCAGGTTCCAGTTTAAATAATAAAACACATCAATCCTATTAAGTATAAAAGACTTGTACAACCAAAGTATGGTACCTTACAGGGAATATTTTTAGATCATTATTTCAAATGAAATATGTATTTTTATTTAACATAGACAAATCTGGAAGAACAGCACTTAGAACCTTAACTCTGCTCTATTGAAAGATAATATTGCAGTCAAAAAAAAAGGTTAGAAAAGCAATATTGTCAGCTATTGCTCTTACACCAAGTTTCTGTCAAACGCATAGCTGGCTCACGACCAAGGGAAACGGATTAAAAACCTTGCAGCAGCATTTATCCTCCTGAGCTCCTTACTCAACATAACCACTATCATCTTTTATGCAACAACATAATAAAATTCTACCACTCATAATACCCAGGAGCCTCTTAAGTGTTTCCTAAGTTATATAGATATATGTATGTGTACAAATATATATACTTGTACATAACACACCCACCTCACCACTGACTACAAGTAAGCAGCAACATCTTCATCATGCGGGAAACTGAAATCAAAGAGCTTAACACCTATTTGCCAAATGGCAGATGGATTTCCAAGACAGCAGAGAAACCGGATGCAGAATGATCTTCCGTTAGTCTTTAAACTGATATTTCTTAAGCACTACAGAGCTTACCTTCATAAACCAGTAATATATTTCACTTTAAGCAACGTCTTCCTTTTACAGGAAAACCAAACGAGGCATATTAGGCAAGTAAAAGCATGCACACTATGACAGACAACATACATTTAAAGGCAGAAAACCACCAAGTGATTAAGCAGCAGAAGTGTAAACTGTCAATTCACAGTAAGCAGATTTGCAGAAGAAGAATTATGACCCAGAAGTGCGTCATACAGAATGAAATTACTGCACAACAGCATTTTTATAAAATTGTCTACAACAATCAAGTATCAGAAACTTAAATTCCTAATTGTTTTGTGTGCTAAAAGTCATTGTAAATGTACAGATCTAATTTGTTGCTTTACAGTAAACTGCACAGAGGCAAATGCACAGATCGGGTAATGAGTACAAACAGTACCTACTTGAAACCAAATGGAAGTGGCTACACTGTTGTGAATTATCTATGAGCAGCTCACTGCAAACCCCATGAGGTGCAGAAGCACAGGTGGACAGTTTGTTCTTTAAAACCTAAGACTGAAATGTCACCATTCTAGTTTCTATCACAGTTCCTACAAATATGTAATGTTTATGGTTTAAGTGCCTTTCACAGCTCTGTGCTTCAGTTTCAACACCAGTGAGAAGTGTCAGAGATCATTGTTGAAACTTTGAGCTGAAACAGACAGGCCAAGGACTGAGGCACTCTTGCTTTTCTTCTTTGTCTTTCAGAACAGCAGCGCTGATAGCTGAACACTACTCTTGCCAGCCATGTTTTGTAGTATTTCCCCCAGGTAATGAAGGGATGAATGTACCAAGCTCATTCTGCAGCCTAGCAGTATTGCTGCCACTTCAGTTCTTTATGCTGCTGTGAGAACAACACAGTATCTCACAGCTCAATTATAACCACTAGATTTGCAGGCCTCTCATAGACATGTCATGTACCTATGAGAATCCATACCACAAGCACAATATTTCTCCAGATGTATTAACAATGCTAGTAGAGAAGATGCAAGAGGCTTAAAAACAAACTAGAAAAAAAAAAAAAGCTGGAGCAAAAAAAAAAGAGGGAACAAAAAAGCAGTTTGTTGTTTACTCTGCTCCTGTACCACAGTTCAACGGTATCTTCATACTTTACCCTGTGCTGCTCTTTTGTAATATATGAATATCAATCTCAAAGAAGCCTTCAATTTACACTGCTCTTTCATCTCCTGTGAAACCAAGTAAACTGTCACAACATTATACTTCACTGCAGAGTCATTTATAAAAGAAAAAGCAACTGCACAATGTGTTTAATACAAACTAAAGTAACTAAATCTCATATCAGGATATGTAGATGATATTTATATTCAGCACATGTCAGGCAGCTATAACCTAGAGGTAGCGTTAAGCAAAAAGGAAGAAAGCAGGTTACCTGAGGCGAGTCAAAAGGATACCGACTACTGAACTTAAATAGAAGCTGAAATTTCTCCCCTTCATATAGTGTTCCTGGAGCACCTTCCATGTCTACAATCCACCTAAAGAATGGGAAAAAAATATTCTTAGTATTGTGGACTGACAAATTACAATTTTCTTCCTGAAGCACAGGACTAATCCGATCGATTACCAATCACAGCCAAATCTCCATTAGTATCGTAACAATCACAAAGGTGAGTAACATAACATGCCTACATTTGAAAGAAACAAGCTTTGTATTTTACATACAGGCATTTAATATAGTGCTGTAAATTATACAAGTAATTATGACTTGAACTCAACACCAAATGATCAATTCCCAAAATAATGACTGTTAATGTGAGACAACAAAGCTGAAACAATAGAGTTTACTATTTATTTACTATTACTGTTACAGTTTACTCCTACACAAAAACAGGGCTGGAGGAAACAAAATAGTAAGTGTTCTTTTTCATGTTGTTTTACTTTTCTGTCACGGAAATCATCAATACTTTTTATTAGAATAAAATCTGTATCCAAGGGGGAAGGACAATGCTACTCTTACATCTGTGAGAAAAACTCGGAAATTAAGTGGTATATAACCTGACAGGTAATGGAACCAAAACCAAAAAAGTTAATAGTATAGAAAGGAAAAGGTCACAGAAAATTAAAAACAAAACAAAAGGGATAACTTGCAACTATAATACAGGCAATACCTCAACATATCACAGTATTAATTTTCCTTTGATTTTCTCCTTCCATCATAACAAGTAAGTTGCTGACAGGTGGAGATGTTTGTGGTGGGTTGGACTTATGGGTGGTTTTTAATCCAGTCAAAAATAGATGCATATTGTTCAACACATATAGCAACACCCTGCTATCTAGCTTCTGTCATTTCTTCTATTGTTGATCACTTAATACCATCCTTTGCAGCATTACTTCCCCATTTTTGTCTTTCACCCTTGATTAATTTTTGTACATTTGAGCAACACGACAAGGTGAAGATTCAGCAAAGACTCAGATAACATTAACATCAGTCTTAAGTGAGGCAGCCGAGATTTTCAGAACAGCAACGTGTTCAGAAAAGCTGACATCTCCTCCACCTGGCAGTCCTGATGATCCTATTCCCAGCCTCTCCATCCTCCTGTCATATACACTCTCCCTGTGTATTTAAGCCATGCCCATTATTCTTTCGGTTGGTCGCTTGCTTTTTGGTTGTGGGTTCTTTTATTGTTTTTCTTTTTTTTAAAGAAATTGCTTCTCCACTCAACTTCCAGCTGCCACACTCTTCAGCAGAAATGCATCTTCAACAGCAGCATGGTGATAGCTGTAGCAGTGTTCCATCTTTTAATTTTGTGATTTCATCTATCTGCACTCCAGACCACTCATCTCTTCTACCTTCTGCTTTTGCATTTATACACATGGTGGACCAACACTCTTCAGTCTTATTGTTCCTTGTGATCCAGAACCTCCACTTCCAAGTTTTTAAAATAGTTTCACTTACTAAGTAGAAGATAACTCTGCCTGAACTTTTCTCCTTTTATGGTCAAGGAATCACCAGAACCCATCTTTCCTGTGTGCTTTACGGTTTAGCCATCTCATATTTCTAATCCTTGTGTATTTAAAATAGATGATTGCTTAACGTTTCAAATGACCCAGTTACACGACGAGATCCAGTTATTTTATTCAACATCTTTCAAACCCAACCAGCATTGCTACACAAATCTTTACTGCACCAATTCAAATTGCAACTTGATTAATTAACTCGGAACATGCTCCTTGGCACAAAAACCCTCAAAGAGGAAAAATACAATGTTATTGAGATAGGAAACTTCTTAAACAGTGACAAAATCTAGCATGGCAGTATACAGGAAGTTTTTATTTTCAAGGTATAAAAACTGTACATAACGAGGTAGTATTCTGGGAACAGAAACAAACAAACAAACAAACAAAAAAGAAAACCCGACTTTTTCCCTTTTCCATTCATCTGCTGTAAACTTGCTATTTAAGTGTAAACTCATCTGTTTCAATGAGTAAAAAACACTTGCAATATAAGACTGAGTCCTTTCTTGTTTTAGTCATATTCATCTGCATGAAGTATCACAAAAATCAGCAGCATTTAAAAAGCAATAGCAGTATTTAACTCAGTATATACAAGGCTCAGAAAAGCCTCATATACATGGTCTGAGTGGCACCTCCACTACCACCTTCTGATGTGAAGCACCATCAGAAGTCAGCTCTGTTTGTAAGTCGATCCATCAATCAATAGTACAGAACATACAGCCTGCTATTCATACTCACGTTTACATCTGCTAAGGAGTTTTTAAACATTTATCTAAAATTAAACTAAGAAAATTACTTAAAAGAAAGGTCAACACAGTCTAAATCTTTTGAACTGCAGTCAATTAAAACAAAAAAAATAGTTCAAATTAATACCAAGAACATCCCCTGTCCATTCCAATGGACACAACACAGAATATTTAATACTGTTATTCTCTCTGTTCTTCTAATCACAAAATACAGCAGGGAGCAAAGTGCAAACGAATGTTCTTGGATAACTTTGCTCTTTAAGAAGTTTCCTCCACTTGCTTTAGAGCAAAAAGGTAATGGAAATTAACAGCTACAAAATGTACTTAACAAAAATAACGTAGAAACTCTAAACCAGCTACTCCATTATTTCAATAAATCTAGAGGGACTTCAGAGATTTGTAATTATGAGAGATTGTTAAATTATTTTATTCTAAAATATGCAGAAGCTTTTACCAATAACATTTTGTTAGACACTAAATGCCTAATAAAAAATTAATGAATTCACTATTCAGTTCCTGAGAGTGTCCAGCACATTACTGCAACATACTCATTATGCAGAACCATGTCTTTTAGTCTGCTCCCTAGACTAAAAACAAAATTCAGAATGTTATTTGAAGTGGTGGAAGTGACCTGCAGAGAACTTCTCATTACTTATGCTTTTCAGCTTGGTAGCAAAAATGAAACAGTGTATATACTTACTGTGTAATTGAATTTTGTACACTCTTTTCATTTAGCGTCATTCCTGGAGGTGGATCATTTTGCAATGCCAATAGTTCTTTTTGTAATCGTTTCTATAAAGAAATTATACAAATATTTGAAGTATTAAAGTTCTACAATAAACATGCACACTGAAGTACATTGCATCAATTATTGAAAGGTAAAAGGAGTTTTATTTGAAAACTTAAATACAAAGTGAAATTGAAATATGAGAAAGAGGGAAGACTCCTTGTCCCAGAAATTAAACTGAAAAGTCACAGGCAAAAAAAGTCACAGGCCTTAAACTTACTGTTTTGGTAAAATGCAGCAGCACTTACATCTGCAACACTGCTAAGTGAAGAACTGTTGTGTTAGGAAATACACAGAGGTATCCAGAATTTTGTCATAATACAAAGATGTCAATCAGAGCTCTACACCTAGCAGCAAACATTTCATATTCCCCCAGCAGCATCAGATTTACAATTAATTCTCCAAGATTTTAACAACTCTTCTACCTCTAAGTAATTAAAGACACTTCTATCCGGCATCTGTGCAAGCCTTTGCTTTGTCCCAAGTCATCTCAGAGGACAGAACACAAAGCTAAAACAAGACCATATGACTTGAAGAACACAAATAATATTACAACTTCATAGTAACTGCATCTTAGAACATACAGAGTCATAGTATTTAGAAATACCAGTAGCTCAGGTAATTCCTACCTATTTTGGCATGGATAAATAGGTAACTGCAACCAGCTGCTTCCATCACAAATACTAGAACTGCTTCTTACAACCTCTGGACCAAAGGAAATGCAATCTCCGTGAAGTGCTATCATTGGCACTGCTTTCAGTGTGTTTTTTCTCCATATAAACAGTTAGGTAATATATTCTGTCAGTTCCAAACAACATAACAGAAAGTTCAAGGCTCTTTCATCTCTTCTCCTTTTTCCTGCCAACCTACCAGTCCACTTCCATCATCCTACTATTCAAAATGACCTTACACTCAAGAGGAGTAAAAATATGTGGTTTGGGAGTTTAATACCTAATGTTGACTCAACATACAATTTTTTAAAATTAGGTTTATCATGCACTTGTCACTGTTCCTTATTGATTTTCCAAACAACTTTTCTGGTGCCTAGTAGAACTTAAAAAAAAAAAATGCACAGGGGAAAGAAAAGCGTTCATTTGTCAACGCAGAAGTGATCTAGGATGTCATTAGTATCTTTGAAATAGAACTAAAATAAATTCAGACACACAACTCCTAAAGAAAAGGTCCTTATACATTCACAGTTTACATTTTGAAATAACCTTCTATCTCTATCAAGCAGCCCTGAAAAGTTGCTTTGGGCTTCTGTTTTTAAAGTCCTTACCTTGAACCCAGACAAACACTTTTAAGTCTTTTATTTTCAAGCAATTAAGCAAACACACGCTCCAAATGAAGAGAATCTCACCCCATAACTGCAGGCAATCAGGACAGAAGACCAACAACTGCTATTAGAGATGACAAAAACTTTTTTATTTTTGTTCTCTCCAGCCATACTGACAATCTTGAATAACTTCCCTTGAAATTATACGGCAAAAATACCGTTTTATAATGAATTCCTAGATTTCTCCCATCCCCATAATGACAGGAACTCTGAAACTGTTTTACAGTTCAAGGGGGAAAATGCTTGTAAAGATTTTGTAAGTATTATGATAAGAGGACTGGAGCACCTCCCATATGACGATAGGCTGAGAAAGTTGAGGCTGTTCAGCCTGGAAAAGAGAAGGCTGCATGGAGACCTCAGAGCAGCCTTCCAATACCTGAAGGGGGCCTACAAGGATGTTGGGGAGGGACTCTTCATTGGGAACTCTAGTGGTAGGACAAGGGGTAATGGCTTTAAACTTAAACAGGGGAAGTTTAGGTTAGATATAAGGAAGAAGTTCTTCACAGTGAGGGTGGTGAGGCACTGGAATAGGTTGCCCAAGGAAGTTGTGAATGCTCCATCCCTGGCAGTGTTCAAGGCCAGGCTGGACAGAGCCTTGAGCGACATAGTTTAGTGTGTGGCGTCCCTGCTCATGGCAGGGGGGTTGGAACTAGATGATCTTGAGGTCCTTTCCAACCCTAACTATTCTATGGTTCTATGATCCTATTACTCTAGCCACCTCAAGACAGAAGCAAGGCAGTCTTCACTCAAAGAGAATTACTTCTACTGGACCACAGATACACATTTAAGAGGTGATACTTTTGGGAATACAAATCCTTATTTGGGTTTTCTCCAACTGGAACAATAAAATATACCATCTATTTTACAATATTCTACTATTCCATTAACCATGCCATACAAGTTAATCATACCTTATCTGACAACATAGCTATGTGTTTTTAATAGGCTTTTGCTGGACATTTTCAAGATTTCTTCTATCAAGCATCAACTCAATTACTTCTGCAGACTATAAAAGAGCTGCCTGCAGACCCTTTCCAGAAGATGCTCAAGAGTACTCTACGGCAACTGCAAGAAATTGTAAAGGGCATCACAGCCTACTAACAAGGATTAATTCCAATACTGAAAAATTGTTTTAAGAGAGGGGTGTTTAGAAAATTGCATTTTAATTAACCTCTCTGGTCAATGCTTTCCAAGGTCTGACTACTCTCAAGGTATAAAATGTTTCTCTTGTATCTTACTGGACTATCTCATGTTCCAATTTGTGTCTGTCACCCCTTGTCTTCCCACTGTGGCTCTATTTTCCCCAACACCCTCCCATGAGGTTGTTGTAAGCATCAGCAAAATCTTCCCTTTGCCTTTTCTTCTGAAAGTTGAAGAAACCCAGTCAGCCTCTCCTTGTACATCATTAGTTCAGCCCCATACCATCTTGGTGTGTATCTGTTGGACTTGCTCCTGGACATCAATAGCTTTCTTGTACCAGGGCTCCCTAAAGACAGTACTCCAGATGTTGTCTCAAGTGCCAGAGAGAGGGGAAGAACCACTTTCCTTAAGCTGCTGGCTACATGCCTACACACACAGCCTAGGAAAATTTGGAAGATACTCTCCAAAGATATTATGAAGGAGCATTTTTTCTTTCTCTCTCCCTTACCATGACTTAAAATAATCTGTCTCATGTTGTGTCTCATTAACACACAAAACTGGATTATCAGGAGCCAAATCTAGTTTAAATTTAAAAAAAAAAAAAAAATCTCTCTTAAATGAAGCCCTTGCAGGCCAGATTCATAGAGTTTAATTAGGAAACTGAGCTCCTGGTTACCACAGTAATACAGAAAACATCTCAAGTTTAAATGCAACAACTTGAAGTGAATTCCAGTGTTTAACAATATTTGGACTAGCTAACCAAAGAGGTACAAAGACCATTGATTTTCTCAGAGTAACACTAAGTCTAAAGACTACTGTACCATCACGCACAAATCCAGAAACATGCACTCTTAGCTTCAAGATAAGTCAGTTATGTACTTTTCAAGAAACACCACTCTGATATACCAAGCCCACACAGATTATGTACAAAAGGCACGCTGCAACTGTAAATTTCTGAAATGAAGCATTTGAAAAGGAACAGTTTCAGAGGGTGAAAAGCCTGACTTGTATTTGACAGCCATGAATACAGAAAACGTTCTCTAGCACAAAGGTCTTGAGAATTAGCAGCAACTTACACAGCAGGACAAAGTATAATGGATTCACACTTTTCAGACAATTCTAACGGTCTTGTTTGTAGACTTTTATAAACTTCAGACTTGAAGATACCTCTCCACCTTCCTCACACAGGCATGGATCAAAAATTCCTAAAATATCTTTGCCATTAAAAGCCTTTGACATTTTCCACATTGCTATCTCTTGCTTTCATAACTCGAAGAATTTTCTTCACAGTAAGAGATCTGGGTGAGTTGAATAAATTATGTCAGATTACTTCTCTTATTCTTCATGGATAGAGAATTCTTAACTTACTTTCCTCCTTCCCCAGTATCCACTCAACTAAACACATAATTCTTTCAAGCCAATGCAGACTGCCCTCAAAATAACCGCTGGTAAATCCACTCAGCTTGATGGAACCAAATGCCCAGATCATCTTAATTTTCTGATTTTTGGAGGGGAGGAGGGAGCTATATAGAACAGTCAGCTACATCAGTTGGGAAAATCTACATCATCAGCCACAGTGGCATTTGTCTCCTATTTCCACTAAGGTACCTGATGATTAGTGTCACAATACATTTTCAAGAACAAGCTACCTAAAGACACTCCCAAGACCTTTGTTCACATTTCAGCCTGAGAACGGAAGACTATTATAAATTCATAAGCCTAGTATAGAAAAATGAAAAGCAAAACAAAGTGGTTTTGACTCAAGTGATCTTATTTTAAACACACATTACTGTTTATCTATAGCACTGTTATGATTAGTACTATCCCGCAAATGTTCCCTTAATTTTATCCTCCTAGTACGACATATTTTGCAGTAGTACTGTTCCAGTTGTCAATGCTTTCCTCCTACCCCTGCCATACTTCTATTTTTGCTGCAATTTCCAGATTCGTACCCTGCAACAGTAGTTCATGTCACTTTGTTCTCTTGCTCAGGCTGCTATTGCTATTTATATACATTTAAGCTCTGTCCTTTTTATTTGGCATGATTTGTTAATTTAACTGCGTCATGTATTTTTTGCTTTTCTATTCACAGGCTCATCCCTTTCTTCATCTTTCTAGTGATTTATAAAAACCTTTCTTAATGCTTTTCAAATCTGATTAATTTAAAACAGTGAACAATGGGTAGATTTCACTCTTGCATGCTTGTCCCTTCCTTTCATACTGAGCTTTAGCAGTAATTACTAATTTTCAGTTTTCTGTTCTGTACAAAGTCTTCAAGTCATGAAATAGTTCCTTCCTGTAGCCATACTGACTTTTAGTATTATTCCTATTTATTTTTTTCCATAGAGACAGCTTGCCACTGTAAATTTGTGTTTTCTTCTGGAAACTTTTATCTCTTCAACACTATTTATAATCAAGAGTCCTTCTGTATTTATGTATCTGCAGCCAATCTTTAGACATGCATATGTGAAGTCAATATCATTACTGGTTTTGCTTTTTTTTTTTACCACAAATCAAGAATACCATTCTTTTCATCACATACTCAAGTTGCTTTTGGCCTCTTAACCAGCCTCTTTAAATCAATATATAAGCTAGTGCAGCTACTCACTCCCACAATAACCTCCAAACAGATGTTTTCTATACGCTGATATGCTCTTGGGAGCTGTGCTGGCTGTACTGTTCTCTTCATATCACAAGACCATCTTTCCAACATTTCTGCT